CCCAACACTGGGGGAAAAATCCTCCACGTTATGTTTCCCTGCCTTTCCTACCAGCCAGTCACATGACTCTGTAGGCTTTTGCTTTGTGTCTATTGTGTCCGCCTATCCCTGCTTCAGTTCATCATTCTCACTCTGGCATTTTATTTTTCCCATATAGACTAATCTAAGTGTGTAATAGCTAGTTTCCAGTTCTTCATTCACCTGTTAGATCAGCACTTCTGAGAGATCATTTTGCCATGTCCTGACATGGCTCTAGGACCAGACCTGACAGGGGCATTAAGGGAATAGAGAAAAGACAAACACATAGATACACAGAAAAGCTGGGATCTGGGGGATTGTGTTCATTTTGGTAGTGAATCCTGGAAGTTTGGTGCTTACTATGTGCAGTTGAACAGAGAGGCAGAGTTATTGCACACAGCTAAACAAGAAGGCAGGGTTATTATATACAGCTGAAGAAGGAGGTAGGGTTATTATATATAGCTGAACAATGAGGTGGGGTCATTGCATACAGATAAATAAGGAGGCAGGGATATTATACACAGCTGAACAAGAAGGCAGGGTTATCTTGGTGGAAGCAGCCTCTATAGGAGAGCAGTCTTCAGGCAATAAACATCCAGGGGGAGAAAGCTATGGTGGATATTTTCCTTATATATTATCAATATCTGCATATGTACCAGAGGAAGGCTTTGCTATCCCTCTGAGCATTACCTTGTAAGAGGGAGAAGAGGCTTTTCCATTTTCCCATGGGTCTGAGGCATTGGTCCTTCACATGGCCACGTCCATGTCAAGCAATATACATTCACTCAGGAGTTCATTAACCCAGGGCTTCCTTCACTTCCCACACCATTTATTCCATCAAAAATCTCAAAAGAATTCAGCAAGGCTTTTACATCCTGGAATCCATTGCCTTTATTAGAGAGTTCTAACCAAAGAGACTCAACCAAAAGAGCAGAACACTGTGTGTTCAAGAATGGGACAATTTTTTCAGGCTGATTTCAACAAATAATGAACGCACAAGGTCCTCAGTGAAGGGTAGAGAAGCATGGGAGTGGAGCACAAAGACCGTGTTATATGCACAATCCCAAACCAATCAGACGTGTAAGAGAGTGACGTGTGGCACTGTTTGCCATATAAGTTTAGAGGTCTGCTTCATATATTCTTCACTAGTCTTTGTGATTTATTGTCGATATGGGCATCTTATAAGTGGGGAAACTGAGGGAAGAAAAAGCAAGCACTTAGGTGCCTACAGGTGCCAACGCCCGGCTGTACACTCCCAAGTCTGTATCCAGAATCCACTTATTGCATTACATTGCCTCTCCACCTATGAAAATCACTGGTTTTAAGCAGATTCATACTGTGACTAGACTGGCTGTAATGGTAGGGATTGAAGAGAGAAATTTAACTGTGATTAAAGTTTTCATTACATGTATTTGTATAGTGTGTGTGTGTGTGTGTGTGTGTGTGTGTGTGAAGGAGGTCATACACACACCACAGTGCACATGAGGAGGTCAGAGGACAACTTGTGAGTTTCTATTTTCTCCTTCCACTACAATGGTCCCAGGGATAAAACTCAGGCCATCGGCCTTGGTGGCAAGAGCCGTTACCCACTCACTGAGCCATCTTGCTGGCCTTGCTATTTTAAGAGTTCATACCTCATCTCCCAAGAGTGAGGTGAAAACAAGTGAGAACACGCAGTGACTATGTGCTAAACGAATGATTGATAAAAGGAACTATGATTTAAACGTCCCAGGGATGGCCCTTGTTTCCCTGGTTTGGCTGGAGAGCAAACAGCAGCAAATCATTTTTCAGTGATTTTGTAGGGAGTCACTCCAACATCTACTCTGAACGAATCCTCCTTGCAAGCCAGTTGAAAACAGGCTAAGTTTAATCCATTTGACATGTTTCTTTTTCCTTCCAGTAATACTACCTGGCATCTTGATTCCTTTATGGCAGGATTTTAACTTTCATCTGCTGGTTTTAATTTAACTTGTCGTATTTCTAGTTTTCTGTGCATGTGCCCAGAGGCCTTTGGGAAAAGCATAGATTTTTAAGTAAGTTAGAACAATAAAATCCAGAGAGTTCATTTTAAGTCAATTAGTCCCATTTTAGGTAATATAAGTAGAAGGCAAGAAATTCACGTACAGCATTTAAGCCATTCTTTCAAAGACTGCTAATTCTGGAAGCTGTGCCTTCCCCACCATAATGGACTATATCCCTTCTTCAGCCACGAACCACAACACATTCTTTCTTCCTTAAGTTGCTTTTGTCAGATGTTTTTGTCACAGCAATGGAAAAAGTAACTAACGTGGCACACACACAGTTTTAGTATTTGCTAATGAAAAAATCTCAGGAATGTTCTCCCCACTTAGCTCCAGGCTTGTGATTCTCTGATACCATCCCTCAGTTTTAATCCTGTCATCCATCCCTTTAATTGTATCCTCTCTGCCCTCCTATTTCTTTTCCATCCACATCTTAAATGGATTGCAGTTTCCACAAGAAC